CAAAAAATTCATTAACAAACACATCAATGCTCATCATATGTAGGTTGCAAACATGACGTAAACAGCGCATAGGAACTAGTCACGAAATGAGCCTCTTGAATGCATTATGAGGCGCATTTCTTTTATTGTTCGTCATTCTGATTATTCGTTGTCATTATTACGAATATTATTTTTATGAGCATTGTTAATATTGTTTTTGGTATGGTTTATGAGTGTGCTGATGTTTTTTACGTCACATAAAACAATCGTTAGTAGGTGATAAGATCTGATTGCAGATACTTAAGGCTTCAATCATTGCCTGCATTCCCATTCAAGATTCGCCTCTTGATGGCTCGAGAAACTCACGTGCTTATTTTGATTTATTAGCAGTTTTTCCTGCACAAACAACATGCACATTAATCACTCATTGTAGTTTCACCTTCCCCATCATGACTTGTCTCGCAGCAATACCAGATGCTCAATTCACCGTCCTGATTGCGCTTACGGCAATCTATTTTCACTCCTCTTTTAGAATCTGAATTCAGCAATTGAGGCAAATCAGATGCCCCGATTTCCGATCAACTGCTGAAAAATCACTTGATTCTTTGAAATCTTCAGCTTTCCTCCATTCATCGCTCCATAACCACCTTTATTTGAAACATCAATTCATATTGGATGTTTGTAACTTTCCATCTGAATGACTGAATGTTGCTGTCAAATTTCGAATGTTTTTGAGAAACCCTTTATGATTTTGCACATGAGAGGAGCTCGCAACTGTTTTGATGATGCTTTCCGACAGCATATGAATATATAAACAAATTGTTCGACATGATCACTTATCCATAAAACAGATCGCGGAATGTTGAATGAATTAAACAATTGCGCGTGCATAACGGTGCCATTCTCGGCACATTTCTCCTCAGCTATAAACTTTTTTTGCGAATTTTATTAGCACACTATTCATCAGTCTGTCAGCTGTTTCAAGTGGATGCCATCACAAAACGTCATTTGCATTGCGCTATATGCACTGAATTGATGAGTTATGTTCACAGGCATATTTATTTAACTAAATTTCGGGCTTCTGATTCCAGAATCTAGGTGCTGCTGTATCAAACCACATTTTTCGACACAAAGCAACCAATATCAAATGATTCCTCCAGTTAAAAGATTGTTTCCTGAAGTTGCTCATTTAAGAGCAATTTTTATTCGGTTCGGTGCTGGCACGATCATACTCCTTCAAGCAAACACTGCAATTAACACAGAAGGGGAGTGAACGTAAACTAGCAGCAAATGCAGTGCTCAGACAACATCTCACTGAGACAACAATCTCTGATTATTTGAAGTTACCTTCAAGCATACATGATTCAGAATCGATTTTTGCAGTGAATTTCGTTTGAGTATAATTATGTTCAACAAGTGCATTTCCACTGCAGATGAATTAAAGTGAAAAGCAAAATGGCTGAAGAAGTTAATTTTATTGCAAGTAGAGAAAATTAATTAATTGCAATAAAAAGGCGATCGTTGTTGCGGACATGATATGCATGTACATTGGTTTAGTGATGACATCCAAGCGTAATTTCAGTTTGCTTTTGACATTCAAAATCCGAACGAATCGACCACTTAACATTCTCGCATTTCCAATTTGAAAATTCTTCGATTGATATCCAGCCGGATTCACATTTTGCAATTCCAGATTTCGGAAATCCGGCCGAAATTCGTCGGATATCCCCAACGAACTCCGGTTTAACGCCATCACTGCTTCGAAAGTCGCTGTTTGATAGTAATTGAACCGCTTAGTCTGTGTTCAATCCGGCTTGCTTGTGAGCGAGCGATTGCATAAATCTGGCGATCAAAATCATTCATATTACCACAGAAATGATGCGCTGCTTTAGTCAATTTTGAACCAGTCTTCCAGCATTCACCATTCCAATTTGAACACTTCTCGCTGAAACTGTAGCAGAATTTTTGGTGCAAAACTAACCATAATGGTATGATAGATCTAAGATTTTGGGAACTTCTTAATCAAATGAATGAGATTGAATGGAATATTGCAGCGAACCTCGAAGAAACTCACGATTACATGATAGAAATCGTTGGTAGAGTTGAAGGATGGAAGAGTCATACCATGTTCCAAGAGCACATTTCACTTAATGTTGTCATTCAAACAGTTTCTGAATTTAACCAAATGGCTTTCAATGATAATAAGAGTTCTTCGTTGGACAAATAAAAGTTTGCTTTTAAAACTTCTAAAGTTAAATTACTCATGGCTGTAACAAACAAACTGAAAAGTACTAACTGGCCGAATATCTGTTACTTGATCAAAACAAACTGAAAATCTCACGTGCTCGAGTCGATCGTGTCGATGCTAGTCCAAATCTATCGAAATGAAAAACATGTCAGCTAATGACGCACGTTCGAAACTGCTAATTACTCTGCTTTCAGTTCATTTTATTTCTCGCATCCAGAGTCACTCATTTCAAAAAACGCTTTCAATTAAGCGTTCATCAATAACACTTCGTAACATCCAGGATCTTTGCTCTTACGATGATCTCCGCACCTCCTCATTCATCAACTGTTATGCTGCCACATTGAACTGCTGTTCCATTCGTTAATCATGAAAATGTCTTCCTTGCGATTGCTGTATTTTCCATGCCCATTGGAAACTAAGCGATATTAATTTTGGGAAACATGCAGAGCTGACTGAGCTAACGAGGTCTTCTCTCGAGACATCTGCAAGCGATGCTAACCATAAGACGATAGTCACTTTCGGTGCATCTCTCTGATTATGAGGCTAACAATATCCGTTCACTGAATCTACGATACGATGCTATTTGGAGCTTTCATAGCAGATTGCAAACAGCATTCAACACTAATAGCGCTGTTTATCTGCGGTACGTCAAGATCTGAGCGCATATTTAATGTGATACTTTGATGGTGTAAACATCCTCGATGATTCTCGAAAAAAATTCCATAAATCTTGGTTAATTGCTAAGTATTCATCATTAAGTGCTTCATTCAGCTAGTACTTCCCGGTTAATGGGTGTCTATTAATTTCAATCATTAGCATCCACTAATCATTCGACTTTTTTCCATCATATCACCTTTCAGCGTCTATAAGTTAATGACCATAATATTATACGCTCAACATTACATGATTTATTGGTCGGTGATATTAAAATTTCTTTCCATTCCATTTGAAGTCCGATACATTAATCGTTGTTGAAACAGCGCAACGAATCGTTCCTCGCCAGCTTCTTCTTCTCAAGGGCTCTCATCGTCGATCCAATTAACACTTATTGTCTATGATTTCGCACTGTTCAGCTGAAACGTAGCGCTCCTGTTCAGAAATGAGGCAAATTCTTAGCATGTGCCTAGGCATATTATTCACCACTTCTGTTAAAAGCCTCAGCTTGTTGAGCAATTGAAGAGTTATTTTGATTGCTAACCGTGATGAAGTTTGATGCGTTACGTTGAGAAATCACCTAAAATTGCTATGCATCGTATGACTGCTTTGAAAAAATTCAAATTATGCTTATTCACAATTGATGTATTTCGAGTGCTTTTATGCGCTTTCTCATTCGAATATTTTAGCCCCTGCCGCTCATTCTCACAAATGCAAATGCGCACTTAAAGCTAGCTATTCGCCACTTTTCATTCTCATTTTCACACTTCTGATTGTATCTTGATTCTGGAGAACAGGATTCTCATATTAGTGAATAGTTGAAAATCTGCATGATTCTTCCATTTCACTGACAGATTTTCGACTGGTGACTGAATTGTTTTTAAGAACGTATAAAACAGCTGAGTGAAACTAAAAACCAATTTTTTTAATTCAGAGCGGTCATATTTCGTCATTGCCAGCATTAATTGGAAGCATCATAATTGATTGCGATGATTTCCTACTGCATTTCCATTGAATGTTGTTGATGAACCATGCACGACTTTGCGCCTTTTCCTTTCAGTTGAAATCGCCTCAGAGCATTTTTGTTTGGAAATCGGTGACATTTAGCTGAGAGAGTGAACAGTTGCTGTTTTTCATAACCTGTTCAATAATTTTATTTATGGTTGCTTGGTGTTGTTGGATATGTAGATGCGTGATAGCTGATTGAACTAAGAAGTGATTTGTGAGCGTTGTCAATGATTTGAGCGTTAGTGATATGATCGAAAGATGAGATGTTTACTCTTCAGATGGCGTTTGAGGGTCTTCTGGACTCGTTGCTACAAGAATCGGATCAGTTGCCAGAGAAGAGTGGAAAACGATCCTACGAAAAGAAGCTGACGCTGGCACAGCGTCATTCGAATAGTGTAAGTTGTTACTTCGGAGTATTTTGTGTTTATAAATCAGAACCTTATAACTGTCCTTATCGTGACCGGTCAATCTGCCTAAAGACATTGTGCCTAACGGCAGTTTGCCTAAAGACGCATTGACTAACGAACAGTTTGCCTATTAAGCGAAATATCCATTAAAAAACCGTAAGTTAGGCAAACTATCCGTGAGGCAATCTGTCCGTTAGGCAATGTGTCTTTAGGCAAAATGTCTTTAGGCAGATTGACCGGGTACCGTCCTTATCATGTTCATGATAAACACTGTTTGCATGTGTCAGACCTCAATCGATAATAAGATCGCAG